AGACAAAAGATCTCATATTTCCGAAAATTGCCACAAAAATCGCCAGTGTAAACGGGGCTTTAGATTTCAGTGGCGGATCCAGGATTTTTCAAATGGGGGTTCCGTTTCTTAAACTGTGTATAATTCTCTCTTTTGTTTAGTCGATGTTTGACAAAAAAATAGGCTCAAATCACCTAATTAACTATCTAGTAACGGACCAGGTTATAATAACACGACCCAACGCAAAACTACTAATATTTTTTAATCAAAATTTATATAAGACATATTTCTATTACCTAAAATATCAAACCTTCAAGGGGGGGTTCCGTGGACCCCTTCGACCCCCCTGGATCCGCCACTAGATGTCATTAAATTTTTACTAAATAATAATTCTTACCCTGTTGGATCCCATCGACGGTCGTCGAATATTAAAAATGATTTTTCGTTGGTTTAATATCAACAATATAATATCATTCAATATTAAAGGCCATGTCAGGGTGGCGGTGGATAATATATTCAATTGTATAATATATTTAGAGTATTCAATTTTAGTATTATTAGATATTCTTTATTTTTTTAAATGTTTCTATATTGATCTATCGATGATATTTATAAATTTCTTAATATAAAAAGTCGTTTTCTTTCTAAAAAATATATTTCAAACTTTTCTATACCATTAAAACTTAGGAGAGTGACAAAAACAATTCACCGTCTACGCCCTAAAATATTATACCAACAGTAACGTTTATAAACTTTAAAATATTTTGTTTGCTTGGCTATTTTAGTAATGTGCTAATAACTTAACTTGACCTTAAAAAAAAGAAAACTTAAGAATTAGTTGAACTTGAACTTGAACCAAAATCATGTTTTTCCGTGGTTAGAGGCCCTTGGGGTTGTTAATGTCCAATAGTAAACGTTTTTTTTCAACACGGTAAGAAATATAATGTAGGGCTGTTTGCTGTCATAAAAAAGTTTCCAGTAAAAAGATGTTTTAAACTGAAAAACCTTTGCTTTACGAGAAAGTTTTCTCTTTTTAATTACTGATGTAATTAGTGCGAATGGTACAATTTGCCGTCGCGACAAGAAAGGGTTTCGCATGATGGACGTTAATAAAAGGTTTTCTATAACACTTTCGAAAAAGAACTTGTAAAGTGGAATAAAAATAAATAAATAAATAACTTTTATTTAAGTGTCTAGTCGTTCTATCGCTTTCGCACTAATTGGGGACACTTTTCACTCACACGCACTACCACTACATTTAATATTCTATGCACACAACGCTCAACTCACATGTTGATTTTTATGGAGGGAGGAAACCGGAGAAAACCCTCGTAGCATAGGAGAGAACAACACATCAAACAAACTCAATTCACATGTGGCGACCGCAGGGCTCGAACCAGCGACCCGACCCGTTGGACTCACAGCGGTGAAAGACGACGCGTTAGCCGCGAACGCCACCCATGCTACCCATTTATGTCATGGAGATGAGGTATTGATTGAGGCACGATTCCGCGCATGCTATTCAAAGGGACTGCAAGTCTCCCTTGCGTCCCACAGTGGATGTAATAATACCCGTCACATAAAAACAAAATATTCTTCACGCTGGATCTCAAAATTTGGCAGTTCTATCGTGATTACTAGGGTTATCAAGAAGTTTAGCTACTGCGAGTTCAATATTCCCGCCAGCAGAACACAAGGCGCTAAGCACCGCGTCGAGGCTCGCATCCGGTATGACGTCACGAATTGCCACTATCTTGGCTTCCTCGTCATTATCGGATTTTTCCCGGACCTGATTGGCTGGATTCAATGGAGGTGAATATTTCTGCGAGTTCTCCGCGTAAGAAGACCTTTCTCTGACCGAGCTAACGTTTCTACTAGAGAATGGCTTACTGGACAAATCGTCAAATGGGGACTGTTCTAACAAATAGTCCTCTTGCGAATCATCCAGGAGCTCGACATTAACAACTTTTTTGGCCTTTTTAGGGTTTTCTTCAATAATGTCTTCCACGTCGATCGCGATGTAGGAGCCACGCCTCTTATTTCCCGCCTTTTGGAGCGAACAACTAGAAGTGGAAGACTGAGCATGCGTAGTCCTCTCATAATCTTTTGTCTTTGAATCCACCTTTTGCGCATGCGTAATTTGGTGGGTCGACGAAAATTTGTTTGTCAGTGCATGCGCAGTAGTGGGTAAATCAGCAATGGTTTTAGTGGATGTAGCTGTTACTTTACTCTTCTTTGACGCAGTTGATTTACTGCGCATGTCTGTTAGAGGCAATGGACGATCTTGGTTCATAAGACGCAACGTTTGGAAGTCTCCATTCGTGACTCTATTAGAAAAAAGAACAAGATTTTTTTGGGATATAATAAATAAGGCGCTTCTTAATATTGCGATGCCTGTGGCAGTTCGAACGAACCACCAAAACTAACAAGGGCTACTCACCTTTGTCGTAATTCTGCCGTTATGGACGCCAGATACTCAACAGTAATTTCCAGGTTTTCTGTTTTAATTAATGTTATATCTGTATTCTTCTCTAGTTCATTTATAGCGACCTGTCATGAAAAAGACAAAAGAAAATTCTACTAGAACATGGCTTAAAGGGTTAGCTATCTGTATTTATGAAATATCTGTTATAAATCTCGCGCTGTAATTGGTTGCGACCGCGTGCAATACGAGAGCACAAAGCACACTTTCTATATTTTGTTATTCGTATCCAAAATAACGGTTATTCTTATTTGTATTTCATAAAAGCAACAAAAAACTTGCTGCGTGACGCTATAAACTAAAATTTGTTACACTATTGAAAAAACAAAATGGCCGATTCTTATCCCAAAACCAACTCTGATCCTGTTCTGGTTTTGCGGCACGTGACAGCAAAAGCAGAGGCGAGTTCACTACCAATGCACACCACCCATTATTACCTAGCAGGGTAAACAGGACATAAACTTACCTCAACCTGTTGTACTGTGGGGTTGCCGCACTTCCCAACACCGTTACACCCATCCATACATTTCACGCGATAAGCTTCTGGGGTTGATTCCACTACATACTGAAGGCTAACTTCATTGGAAAGTATTCCAAACTCCTCCCTTAAATAAGAGGCATTTGTTCTAAATCTTTCATCTAAAATTTATGGGAGGATGCGAAGTGGGCTTGCGGGGAGAATGAAGGAACACACCCCCATTCTCGTACTCAGACTCTTCTCAGTGAGATAGATTTTTTTCGTTAGAAAGCTGAGAAGGGTCTTGGTACGAGAATAACACACCCTTAAACACTTCACACACTTAAGGAATAAAGATAGCGTGAGCTACAGCATCTACCATCTACCAGCACAAACTAAATAACCATTGAAAGTCCTTACTAGTTTTGGGGTTCCTGTGGTTAAAGCTAACAAAGGTAGCCCACTCGTTAAGTCACGGATACCAACCTCCATCGTATCATTTTGTCCTTTTGAGATAAAAATCTCCCGTCTTTTATACTTTCTGCGAGATCATCTGAAAATGAGAAAAGACGTCAAAATTAAAGAAAAAGAATGGGAATTGGATAAGCTGCTGTTAAAAATGAGGGAAATGGAGAGTGGGAGAAGATGGGAGTCCCATTTTTCATCTTTTTTCGTCCCAGCTTTGCACTGTGAGTAACTCTCTGAGGCATCCCTGTATCGCACCAGTTAACCCTGTGTTGTCTAAGCCTACTTTTGTTCCCAAGTGGTACACTTTTTCCTTGTACCATCCCATCTGTCCCATCCTATTCCAAGTATCTGAGTATCATTTAAAAAACTAACCAGCTCTTTTCCTTTCTACAAGGATTGGTAATGCAACCTCTTTGCCATTCTCTCGCCAAAGCCATAAATAGTCCCCACAGGGGAGGTGTGTGGTCTTGTGCTGGACATCCCATTCCTTCAGTCTTCGACACAACTTTAATCAAAATAAACATTATTATCAGATTAAGTCTCATTGATTCTGGCATGGCTTGTTTTATTCCCTTCTTTGCAGAGCATTTTGTCTGTAAATCTGTAATCTAATATTGGTTGAAACATAGAGTAACATACCTCTCCCAACCTTACTCTATCTCCTCCAAGTTCATGATCATCAACCAACATCAGAACACTTTGAAATAAACACACAAAAATACAAAATTAATCATAACTACAATTGATGTTCAAACAATTTTAATTTAACTTGTTTATTTACAAAACTTCTACCTATATAAAATATATAATCAAAATGAGAATTAAAAAGAGAGATTTGTCCATTATTCCATAAGTTGTCTCACCCATCAGTGCCTCTGTCATGACAATACAAAGGTCCCTTAAAATTGCTTGCAGATGCAGCGGCAGTTGGCTCAGTCACACCAGAATTTCCAGATCTTGGTTCTATAGCCTTCTTTGTGCTAGATGGAGTCTTTTTTCTTCCTTTAGCAGGACTTTGTGGAAGCGGGGGAACATTTCTGATGCGCACGGGAGGAGGATGGTTGCCTGAAATTTTAAGGATGTGGTCAAAGTTTCAATATGCCTATGGGTTGCACTATGAGAGGTTTAAAGATGATCTACCTCGTAATCTCATGGCAATCTGTTCACCTTCTGGTAACAGCTCATAAACAGCTTGCTTCCCTAAGACCAGATTAAAAAAATAATATAAATGTTTGATATATTTTGACCATAAAGGCAGGATTGATGTTCTTGTATGCTAGCAGTGTTCTTACCAGGCCGCGCCATTGGGGGATTCGCGCATAAAAATCAGAAATGGCGCACAAATGTCACCTCTATGCGCTCCCAAGGGCGCATGAATTATTCAAAGAATACTTCCTGATAGTTTTAAAAGATTTATAGTACTTTTGAAATAATAAAAGTCGCATTATATTGCCGATAAACAAGGTGAAAGTCCACATGAAAGTCCACTGTCTTACATTGTTGTAGAATTGCAACAGAGTTACTGGCTAAAAACATTATTATTTGTTGTTTGGAGATTTTGGAAATGTTTTCTAAATGGCCCCTAAATTTCGGATTGATAGGCCCTTTGACCCCCTGAAAGAAATTCCTGGTAAGAACACTATGCTAGTGGTCCCCAAAGAGGAAATTGATGATGATGATCATTAATAGAAAAGAAAAAGGGATTGTACAGTACATTAAATGAGTTAGTACTTGCAAGTGAAAATTTACCCTCCAGTGAGTCAACATAGTATATGTTGGTGCCTTTTAATGAGTGTGCTTTTATTAAAAATACATCAATACCTCTGGTTCGTTTTTTGACATAACCTCTGCTGATGAGAACATTAATTCTCCACCATGCAGGACAAAGCACTAAAATAAGACACCATCTATTAGAATATGGCAAAAAATGAAAGGCTCATTACTTTGAAGTAATAAAATGCTGTGCCCTCCTGTTACCATGGTGATGATGATTTCATTTAGTAATCTTACTCTTTTCTATAAACTTGGTTTTGTTACTATCACAGGGTGGGACAATCAAGCAGTTGTGGTGTAGCAGTCGAGCACTCACACCTCACCTCTAGGGTCTGGGGTTCGATTCCCAGACTCTTAGTGATAATAAATTATGCGTTCGGTGTGTATATAATGAAGTAGAGAGAATAAGAGAAAAATATCAAAAAAAATATCCTACCAAGGGCATTTKATATTTTTCTCTTATTCTCTCTAGACTCTTAGTTAGTAGAGTTTGTTTGGACGCAACCCTTGATTAGAGGGTTTTTCTCCAGGTTCTCTTGTTTTCCTTCTTCCATAAAATCTAACAAGCTAAACTCTAATTTGATCTGTATCCTGACTACCCCATAGGTTGTTTCAGAGTTCAATCTGTGAGTTAGCCTAAACTGCCTTTGATCCGCCCAGTGGTTGTTCCAGGGCTCAATAACATTTGAGGGTTTTTGAAGATATTATATATTTTCACTGTAAGAAGATAAGGTTGGTGTCCCTTACCTGGTGTTCCATCAGCTGATGCTTGGATCTTGTTGAACTTCTCATCACAAATCAACTGACAAGCTTCTTTCAAGTCAGGCTCAGGAACCAATGGCTTCCCTCCCTCTGAAGAACTATGACACAGCAAAAGGAATTTTATAAAATGCTTGTTATGAACCTTGAATGTGTGATTCGTTGGGAGCATGTGCGTTATGAGAGCACACAACATATGCTTGCATAGGCATATCCAAAATAATAGTTATTTTAATTTGTATTTTATGAAAGCAACAAGAAAACTTTCTAGCTGTTCTGTGTGATGTTATAAAGCACTTGGGGATTGGCAGAACACTCAAGAAGTGTTGAGAAGCACTTCACTATGCATCATGCTTCACTTAACGCTTCTCTTTTTTTTGCCTATCCTTGCATGCTTTACTACACACTAATAACTACATACAACACTCACATGCATTTTCTATTTCTTTTGTCATGTTCAGGACTAAAAATAATGACTGCTCAATGGCCAGACATGACGACAAGCCACATCAGACTGATCATCTTTCGATCAGTCAAGAGGATCAGCTTAACCTAAGAGGTGTTTGGTGGCACAAATGCCAACTTTGGCTGGTTTTTACCAGTTGACCAATCATTATTTCATCTCCTCAGGTTTGGTGGATCAGAGGATGGAACCATTTTGAGATTTCATGAAAAAAAAATTCTTGACTTACCCTAGTGCTTCACTTTCATTCAACAATGCAACAAGAAGACCTGACCCTGTGCTAGCATGATGACCTGATGAAAAAACAGAAACATTTCCTCATTGGAAAGACATTTTCATATTCTCATATTCAGCTTCTTTGAAACAAAAAAATCACTGACTCAGACTACTGTAAATATATTTGATTGACAGAAGTCAAAAATGGAAGAAAATGTGCAGCTCTGAAGTTGCCTTGGCATGGCGAAAAATAACCACTACTCAGATGCACATGATGACCAGGCACTTCAGATCAACATGTGACCATTCAATATTATGCGACTAGTCAAGAGGAATGGCCGAAGAGGTGTTTGGCCAGACAATTACCAATTTTGGCCAGACATAGTCCTTTGACTGGACATTATTTTGGGCCCTGCATGGTATGAGAATTGTGACCGTTGGTTCAATCCATTTCCTTACCAGGATTTGGAGGATCTGGTTTGATATTATTTTCAGCTTGAATCTTATCAAGACGAGATCTGATTATTGCACCAACCTAAAAAACAGCAAAACATAGTATATTTGATTGTATGAGTGCAAAGTTTGACAAATGATGCATAGATAAAAATCACTTGTGGATGCTTGCTTTATGCTTTACTGGCAAAATAAAATTACCCCTTCAAGTTGAGTAGCTTGTTTAGCTGATCTGATTGGTTCAGATGCCAGAGACAGGGATACAATGGCTTTAGATGTCCATTCAGCTGCTTGCTTGAGGAACTGATGTYGACGTTGCTGATGTTCATGTCTAATTAACCCTCTTATAAACTTGTATCTCTGAAGATAATAATGATGATGAACTTCTTTGGTTATATCTATCAACCTGTGCTCTATCTACCCACCTATCCACCAACCTACCCCTCTATTCATCTATCCACCTCCCTACCTCTCCATCTATACATCCATCCATCTACCTAACCATCTATCTATCCATCCATCCATCTACCCATCTATCTATCCATCCACCTCCCTACCTCTCTATTCATCCATCCACCCACCTACCCCTCCACCATCCATCCATCTATCCATCCATCCATCTACCCCTCTATCTATCCATCCACCCAACTACTCCTCTTTCTATCCATCCATTTATCTATCCATCGTCCATCCCTACTACCCAAGCACATTATCGAGTCACGTCTATCAATAAACCTACAACAAACCTATCGCGATCCAAATATTAAGTCATTAGTCATACTTCCAAGTCATAAAAATATTTAAAATCAAAAAATATCAGACACATTCAACTAAGGGACCGTTCATTTTTTATCGGGAGGGGGGGCTGGTGGTTTTGAGGGG